TTTTCTACAGTAAAATAAATTCACTTGAAAAATTTTGCTCAGGTGACACACATTTCGTTTTTTCTGGAACAATACTATCTAACCATAGCCTAAATGTAAGAATAATCAGATATGATTTTAAATCACAGTACTTACTTTCACACACTTACAGTTCATATTCATAATAAAAACATTTGCAAAAAAATCCAACTTTTCACAAGTAAAAATATTAGGACTCGATTAAAATGTAGGAATGACACAGATTCGACAGGGATTTCTAAAACAATGGCTGCGCGCAATCGGGGATCTCTCTCTCTCTCTCTCTCTCTCTCTCTCTCTCTCTCTCTCTCTCTCTCTCTCTCTCTCTCTCTTTGTGTGTGGAAACATCAGTTACTACATGTGCATATTATATTTTCTCCAGGTATTTAAAACTATAGAAAATCACGGGTTTTTTTTATGTTTATGGTGACACTAAATATCAATATCGAATATTTAAATGTCTTCTTTATAAAAAAAAAAGTCATTCAAAAAATAATCTGTTCCAGGTATAAAAGAATCAGTTTGTTTTACATTGCGTTATTAGAAATTTCTTTGTACATATAAAACCTTAAATGACGTCATAGTTCATTTTTTGTGTTTTACTCGTAAAAGATCCAATTTTCAACATCTAATATCTCTGTAACGAATGCGTTACCTTAAAAAGTTTGTAATAAAGAATGTTCGTAAAATTCCCAACTTTCGGGTTATGGCATTTTTAAAAATTTTATTTTGTGTTAAAATTAGATAAAGGCCACAGAAGATAGCACAAAATCAGTCATTTATGCATAATTTTATCAACTTCCTAGTAGGATATGAAACTTTAACTTCAAGTTTACGATACTTTCTGAGAATCATATAGGAAACTTTGCAAAAGTGATCAGTTTCTTCTCTAGTTTACATAAATATCAATTGTTTTGTTGTACACCAATTATTTACGAAACACCAGCAATTAAATGCCCATGATGCTGAAAAGGCGTGTCTGGGCGTTAAACGGTTAAGGACAGACGAGATTTCCTAAATAATAGATAATTTTTTCTAAGAGTTTGACGTACTGCTACTAAAACATGTTTACACACAAAAAATTGAGGTACCTTAACATGCATTGCTGCAAGATACCAGGGGTAGTTTTTCTAATATAATCTTTTGAAGAAGAAAAAAAAATTCCAATTTCAAATGTTTAAGTGTTTGGATTTCTAAAAAACATTTAGAAACTGGTTTAGAAATCAGAATGTTATTAAAATTTTGAATATTTTTCATACAATACGAAAATATACAAAACAAATTTTGAGGAACGTCTCTCGTCTGACCTTAAATATACGTAACCCTGAATCTGCTCTAAGGATGATTATATACTTTTTTTTATTATTTCTGCTTTTTCCCTATAAGTTTGAACTTTTATTGTTCCACCCTCCCCCTTTTCGAGTCATGATTTTAACAAGTAGGCATCCACATATACCTGAGGATGCTTCCTTAACTAGAACTGTCCATATGGGACAAAATACCCCCCTCTGGTTTTTTCAGAGGTAAGTTTTTCCATAATAAAGATATGTATCAAACATGAATCATACAATTTTTCTTTCAGTGACCTTGAACTTGCACAGATGACCTTGGGTCAAGGTCATGACACACCCATAGGTCATGAGGCATCTTCCCTTACAGAAAAAACGAATGGAAACTTACAAGTGTTTTATAATCCACTTATTAGCAATTTATAAGTCACATAAATTTTGAAATTTACTTATAAGTGTACTATAAGTCAAAGTAAGTATAAGTGAGGAACATATTTCATTAATACTTCACTTATAAGTAAAGATGGGCTACATATCAGTAAATATTTCACTTATACCTCACTTATAAGTGAAGATCAGTATGGTATGAGCAAGTATAAGTGTGGACTTAGAATTTTTACCCTATACTAGACTTCTCTCAAGGAGCACTACAAGGTATTCTGTAAAAGGTAGCTAAAAAATCAGAAAGTTTGTCTCTGCAGAGATCAGCAACAAGAATTTGAAACCAAGTTTGTGTCTGTGAATGGGTGTTGGAGATTTTAGATTTATTTTCAGTATGCACTTCACATCAGGTACAACAAGTAGGTTCTATAAACATCATCTCTCTATTTTAACTTCCTTTTTCTGACATTTTGAATCAATTGACTCAGTTGCTTTCAGATTTCATAAATTTGAAGAAGCCTCAAGGTCATTAATCTTGTTCCCTTTTTGTTCAACATTTTTGTTTATAAACTGAATTAATATGTTACGTTTGCGTCATCAAAGGGATGTTATATAAAAGGGATTTTGTTTCATGAATTTTTTACTTGATTATTTCATCTAAAGTGCAAATACATGTGTATATGCAAAATATAGCTTTGAACATATCATGCAACCCCTGCATGGTTGGAAGTTCTGTTCTAAATTAAGATCTTACTTCACTTGTTGTACTTCACTTATAAGTGACTTATAGATGACTTATAGATGACTAATACTTCATAGAGCATGAAGGGTTAATGCTTGACTTATAAGTCACTAATAGTCACTTATAAGTGACTATACTTGCATAAAGTATAAGTGGCTAATGCTGGCTTCTAAGTCACTTATAGCCATTTATAGGTCAAGCAGCTCATTTCCATATAAAATCCTAATGAGTAACATATTAGTTACTTATAAGTTAAATGTATCAGTGAAGTGTAAGTCCAGAATAAAAAAAACTTATAAGTAAAAGAATAAATCACTTATAAGTCACTTATCAGAAATTTCTGTAAGGGTTTGAAATGAGAACCTACCAAGTTTATCCAGAAGAAAGATATAGAATGGACACAAATTATGAAAATTTTCTTCCAGTATCCAAATCCTTGGATCATCCGTAATTTTTGTGTGAAATGAGAACCTACATGTACCAAGTGTATCCAAGAGAAAGATATGGACCAGACACAAATTATGAAATTTTTCTTCCAGTGACCTTGAACTTCCCCAAATGACCTTGGTTCAAGGTCATGTCACACCCATTGGTCAGCAAGTTTTGTGTGGATTGAGAACCTACCAAGTGTATCCAAGAGAAAGATATGGACCGGACAAAAATTATGATTTTTTTCATCCAGTGACCTTGAACTTCCCCAAATGACCTTGGGTCAAGGTCATGACACATCATTGGGTCATGATCAATCTTCGAGTGAAAAAACTACCAAGTTTATCCATAAGAAAGATATGGACCGGACACGAATTATGAAATTTTTCTTCCAGTGACCTTGAACTTCCCAAAATGACCTTGGGTCAAGGTCATGAAACACCCTTGGGTCATGGGCAATCTTTGTGTGGAGTTGTAGATTCTGATGTTCCTCAGTAAGAAAAATATGAACTGGACACATTTGCACCGACAGACGGACAGACAGACAGACGGACGGACAAGGTGATTCCTATATACCCCCCAAACTTCGTTTGCGGGGGTATAAAAACATAACCAATCCTTACTTTGCATGTTGAGAGAATCTATTCTATATATTCCTATGTAAAAGTTTAATTGTCCATTGTGGGCTCGCCCTAACCCAAGGGGTCATGATTTGAACAAATTTGAATCTACTCTACCTGAAGATACTTCCAAATAAATATGACTAACCATGCCTTTGCTGTTCTCATGAAAATGATTTTTAATTATATGTTCCTATATATTCCTATGTAAAACTTTGATCCCCCATTGTGGCCCCACCTTACCCCTGGGGGATAATGATTTGTGCAATCTTGAATCTACACTACCTGAGGATGCTTCTATATAAATATGATGAATCATGACTTTTCTGTTTCTCATCAACGGATTTTTAAAGATTTTCCTCATATACACTTATGATAAAGTCCTCACCATTCCCCCTGGGGGTCATAACTAAAACAAACTTGAATCTACTCTACCTGAGGATACTTCATCATAAATATAACCAAAAGATTTTAAACGATTTTTCCTAAATATTCCTATGTAAAACTTTGATCGTCAAATGTGGCTCAACCCTACCCCTGGGGTCATGATTTGAAGAAACTTGAATCTATACTTCCTGAGGATATTTCCACTTAAATTTCATCTTTCCTGGTCCAGTGGTTCTTGAGAAGAAGATTTTTAAAAGATACCATTATTTTTTCACTAATTCTTAATTTCCCCTCGAAGGGGGACAGGGCCCTTCATTTTAACAAACCTGAATCCCATTCACCCAAGAATACTATGTGGCAAGTTTGGTTGAAATTGGTCCAGTGGTTCTTGAGAAGAAGTCGAAAATGTTTAGAGACAGACGGACTGACGGACGCCGGACAAAATTTGATCAGAAAAGCTCACTATAGCTTTCGGCTCAGGTGAGCTAAAAAAATTAATCAAATGTCTCGATTTCCTTTTGAGGAAATTTTTAATCACCCGTACAGATGCTTTCAGATTTTTTTTTTTGAAGTTCTAGAATAGGGAGTTGAGTAAAGAAGAGAGAAAGAAAGGCTTATTATTTTTTTTAAATGTCCTGTTTCTTTATTTCTAACCACATTTTTCAAATGGCCTCATATGAATTGCTTTATATCAAAGAGGGATTACATAACTCTCACCTTTACTTTCTAACAGCACAGGAGTCTGAAGTTTTAATGGTCAAGCCGTAATCGTCAAGCAAATTGGATTTTTCACCTTGAATAAATAACACAAACGCTCTGGATACCGAATTAGTCGCGAGATTTTTCTGGCCAAGCCCAGATCTTTTTGTTCAGAGTGGTCCCCCCGAAACACCTTTCCATCCTTGTGTTTTTTTAAGTTAAGGGTAGGATTTTTCCGGATTTTTTTTTTTTTTTTTTTTTTTTTATACGATAAAAACTTCAGAGTCCTGTGCAAACAGTAACATCCATTTTCAATTTTTACTGATTTTTCAAATGAATTTTTTATAACAATTGATATGAGATTTTGTCTAAATAAAATGCATATACATGTATCATGATTTTAAGTAAAAGGATGATTTTTATCAAGAATAATACCTTTTCTGTTTTGTTCTCAGAGTGTGTACCAACCAGGATGACAGGAGCCTCATCACTGCTGTACTGGTGTATGGACTTCATCCAGAACTCAAGGTAATCTGAAAAACAAAGACACATTCAGCTGTAAGAGTTTTCATTAAGATAGATTGCAGGAAATGATGGCTGATGGACATGACAAACTCCATATGTCCAAACCATTTTCTTGGCGGGATATATTGATAACAAACGTATTGCCTTCATAAAGCTGCACAGAAGGACAAACAAATAGAAAAGTATAGTGAAAGGAAAAAGAAACGCATAATAGCGAAATATATTTAACTATGTGGCCGAAATTATGAAAATTGGTCAAATGTGTATTTTGATTACTGTGCACTAAAATCCCTGGTCAAAGTTACTCAACCATGAAATGTATGGGGTCATGTAGGGGAAGTGATAAAAAGCCAAATACACGTGCATGTTGATGATGACAATTTTGTGATCACATTTTGTAGTGCCAAGAGATGCATTATAGTTATAGACATTGTTTTTCAGTATTTGCAGTCAGTAAAAACTTCTTGCAATCATGGTATTGCTAACGGAAGTTGCATTTGGTCTAGTAATTGAGTTGCATAATTGAATAAAAAGGCTGTGCAGTTTGTTTTTAACTTTTCAACCAACAATTTTTGGGGGTTGTCAGAGAGTAACTTAAAAGGTTTCCAACCAACCATGACGGTGACATTGGCGCGTTACGTCACATCACGAGAGGGCTTTTCATCATGCCACCTTGGTTATTGTCAAGTCATTTTTACTGAAACCAATATTTTTACAGCAGATAATCATACTCATATTTTCATCCTAATACTAACAGAAACTCTCTGCTCTAATTTGGGTACGCAAGCTTGGCAACTTTACGTCAAATTTACTCTCACGCGCACGTACGTGCCGTATATGTAATGTTTTTAGCATGTTGATGCTGAGAAAATGTAGCCAGTGTTTGTCGAGACTTCCTCACAACATTCACGTGTACCGAATAAGCTAGATTCGGTCAATTCTATCCTAAATTCCATCCTAAATAAAAAATTCGTTGGATTCATTTGGCGGGGGGATTTGTTGGTTTTGGAATAATACATCTACTCTCAATCATTAAGACTACCTTCGGAAGGATTGAATGATAATCCTATGAGAAAGATAAGTACTCAATGCACAAGAAAATCATGTCTGTTACTGATGCGCAAGGGATATGATGAGAATTTTTATATTAATTTTGGGGGGAATCAACAAATCAATTTTAATAACCCCGAAATTATCAGTCAAAATCATACAAGATTTCGGTTACATGTTGTTTAAAGTTGAATTAAAATGTTTGATAACAATACTGGAAAACATATTGGAAATAAAAGTTTTAATTTTATTCAAAAGTTTATTATGCGTTTCTTTTTCCTTTCAGTATAATTCTCATTTAGGATAAAAGATTTAAAAGTTTCACAGGTCAAAATTTTCAAAATTCAATGGGGTATACACCTGGCTCAGAAAATATGGAAAATATAAGCATTTCCTTTTTCAATATGTCAATAACATTTATCAATGTAATAAATTTTGATCTGATGAGATGGTGCCTTGAAAAAGATTTTTTGGCCATACATTTCATAATCAAAATATTACCTCTGTGTGTCCATCCCCCGTAAACAGAACCTTCCTGACAACACACTTCTTCTCCAACCTTATCATCAAACTTCTTCTCCATATTCAGCACCAGAATGAAGAACGCTCGAGGACTCAGAAAAATCTGGTGTGAGGCATAATATGAACACTGTCCTGCAAAGTCAGTCATGGTTATTTTTTTATCTGGATATTCTGAAACGTTTTTTGTATCAATCTGCAAATTTCCAGAAATTGATGAATTATTTGGTTCAGGAATATCTTTGTTTTCCTTTTTAACATCTACTAATGATTCTGGTGATGTTGCCCCCTGTGGTTCATGGGATGAGGTAGTTATAATGTTGGTATCATGTTGGTATGATATTTTTCCACTGTTTGATGCTTGAATCGCATGGCCCTCATCATCAACTCTTTCCATCTTTTCCTGTGTTTCCCTATCATCAGCTGCATTTTTTGAAAGAGATTCAGGAACACTCTGCTGCAGATCTTTTTTATCAAGTCTAAGTTTAAAGCGCTGTTGTTGGCTTGAAGGATTTGCTGTAAATAAAAATGAATACATTTAAAAGATATTCTCTCTTTGCTGTCCCCGTAAATGGACTTCAAGTTTACTTTAAATAAATCTACAACTAAAAATATAAATTAGAGGTATTGTGAGCATTGAATTCACATAATGATATCCAGAGATATCATATAAGTATAATGGCCAGGTCCACTTTTATCACTGAAATACCAAATATATGTGCGATCTAAACATAAAGTAGGAGCTTGGTCGTAGGTAAAAAAAAATTGAGTGGATAAAGAAGAGTTGCCGATATGAAGAAGGGTATGGAGATAACGAACAGTATTCAATCTCAAAGTCCATATACAAATACAAAATAAGAGCAGAGCAAACACGGACCCCCGAAACATCAGAGGTGGGATCAGGTACCATGGAGGAGTGAGCATCTCCTGCCGACCGGTCACACCCGTCGTGTGCTCCTTGTCATGATCAGGAAATAACGGAAAAAATCAATCGTCCATTCAGTGTATAAATGATGAATAACAATTGGTATAAAAAACGTCAGTCAGCATTTGACTCAATGATAAATTGTATTTGCTGACAAGGTCATTTTATCGACCAAAGAACTTACGAAATGATGACTTAAAACGACACTGCTGATATTCTTGTTTCATCAACTTGCTTGTCAATAATTTACCTCATTATAGAAATTGTTCATACGTAGAGCATGCTCTTGCGTATCGAATCAACTGAGATAAATATACTCCGTATGCAGATGTTGAAGGTATATTGCTGCATAAGTAAGGGCGGAGGACGATAGAAAAGTTAAATTCATCACGTTTATCATATAGCTTGGTAACCCCAATATCAGTGAAGGGAGACTAAGGGTGTATCTTTCTTGCTTTGGGAAACCCAGAATATACCCCATCATAAAGAAAACTTGAGGTCACAAAGCCAATATGTAACAAGAATTCTGTGAGTTTCAAGATTCTTTACATTTTTTATAGTGGTATAAGAGGATTGACAGATGAAATATGGGTACCGACAAACGTGATAAACTGACAATAGGATGAAAAGATTGACATGTACATCATTATATAACCTTTGTTTTATAAAAAGGCAAGCAGGGGAGGTTTACAAAAACGTTTTTCAATATACATGTAAATAAAAATAGACTATTTAAAACAGATAATAATTTTACATCTTGTCACAAAAATTATATAATTGTGGAGACAGTTTTAAGCATCCTTAGTTAAGTATTATGTAAATTTATCAATTCAACCTGGATAGAGTCAAAGTAAATATAATAGGTAACAATTCACAACATGGATAGAGTCAAAGTAAATACAATAAGTACCAATATACAACAACCCGGATAGAGTCATGATAAATATAATAAGTCACAATATACAACAACCTGCATCCCAAAATCCCCAGATACATCAATTCACTAGGTGTGATGATTCTAAGCCAATTAATACCTAAGATACTTAAGAAAGATAGCCAAAAAATCTCAAAAGTAGGTCATCATGACCTACATTTTGGTTTCACTCTCCTAAAACCCAAGATGCACCAAATCACAAAGTTTGATGATTCTAAGCCAATAAATACCTATAATACTTAAATATAGCCACAAAATGTGAAAAGTAGGTCAGTTTGACCTACATTTTGGTCGGCCAGTCCTGATATGCATCTGCTGACTAAGTTTGATGGCTCTAGGTCTGAAGGTAATCAAAATATGCACTTAAACCCATTTGAAAACAAATGTCTGCAAAATTCAAAATGTATGTCACAGTGACTTACTTTTTCTTAAATATGTTGTAAGGTCATAAAATGTAGAAACTTACAAGATTTGATTATTCAAACCCTGTCATTGTCTGGAATAATGATTAATTGTTTCAAAAACGATAAGTCATAAAGTTCAAAATGTAGGTCTCAGTGACCTACTTTTAAATTGACGTTGTACAAGGACCCAAGATGCATCAACCGAAAAAGTTTGATGATCATAGGCCTTAAAGTGTCCAAAATATGCTTTCAAATCAAACAAAATTTAAAAACAAAATATGAAAAGTAGGTCATCGTGACCTACTTTGAAGTGAACATGATGTGAAGTCCTAAGATGCATCAACTTAGAAGATTAGATGATCCTAGTCCTTATAGTAAGCAAAATAAAAATGTTTTTATTGAATGTAAATTTGAAGCTTTGAAGTGACCTTGAGACACGTCCTTTGCCCCAGGGTGATGCCTTGAATAATTTTTAATCTTCAAGATATCCTGATCCATGTATGTATGTTTTGTGAAAATCTGCCAGGTGTTTCTGGAGAAAAAGATTTTTTTGCAACTTTTGAATTTGTTTTCCTGATTACTCTATCCTTGTTAAAAGGTCCAAAGCTTTATTTTAGTATAAATGGTAGCCCTTGGGCAAAGGATACTTTGTGACAAATTTGACACTGATTTGCCGAGGGTTTCTTGAGTTATGGCCCATATTCTAAAAAGTTAAATCAAACCGCACAAATGGCCATAGCGTTAGCTCTTTGAGGCTTTGGCTCAGAAGAGCTAAAAATTAGTTTACAGTACCTGTACCTGAAAATATTTCACTGTACCAATAAAATTTCAGAAGTAGGTCATGATGACCTACTTATGAAATTTAATAGCTACAGTACCGACTGGACACAACCTTACACCAGAGCGAACCCAAATCGCATCCCGGGTTCGCTTCCTGGGTCCGCTCGGGGTCTGATTCGGACCCGCTTTCAGAAACATTGTGACCTCTTTAAGTGCGTCTTGGTTGCTTTTCGGGTACACTCTGTGAACTCGACATTTGAATTCCACATTTCGCAATCAAACGTGAAGCGGACCATGTTTACATCTTGCCTTCAGTAAACCCGCCTGTTGTATATTCCAAAACAGTAGTGGAATCGATCATTGTTGTTTTTATCGAGATCGAAACATGCACACTGTACATCTTTAAAGTGACAATATGGAGTACATTGATAAATTCCAACGTGGAATTGTTATTAATTGTGATATCCTAATGTCTCTGCACTCAGAATTTTGATCCCAAAAAAGTTTTTAACAGCAGGCTATTTGGCACATACAATGTATTTAATATATATTTTTCAGTTGATGTATAATGAGGACACACGATGGTCAACAAGAAATCTGTGAGCCAATGCTCAATAGTAATACCCCCGCTCTGATGTAAATAAGAACTATAATGTTAATATACACAAGTACAATTATAGTCAGATGCACAGAAACAAGAGTCCCAGGGGCCACAGCGCTCACCTGAGCACATTGGGCTTGAATTTAACCCCTCCCCCCTCCAGGCTTTCATCATTTGTACAAACTAGAATCTACACTACCTGAGGATGATTCCATATAAATATCACTAATCATAGCTTTGAAGTACTTGAAAAAAAGAATTTAAAAGGTCTCCCTATATTTCCCTATGTAAAACTTGGGTGGGCCATTTTGGCCCCATCCTAGCCCCGGGGGTCATGATTTGAACAAAATTGAATTTACACTAACTGGGGATGATTCCACATGAGTTTCATCTTTCCTGGCCCAGTGGTTCTGGAGAAGGGTTTTTAAAGATTTTTCCTATACATTCTTATGTAAAACTTGGGTCGGCCATTTTGGCCCCGCCCTAGCCCTGGGGGTCATGATTTGCACAAACTTGAATCTACACTTCCTGAGGATGATTCCACATGAGTTTCATCTTTCCTGGGCCAGTGGTTCTTGAGAAGAAGATTTTTAAAGATTTTTTTCCATATATTCCTATGTAAAACTTGGGTCGGCCATTTTGGCCCCACCCTTGCCCTGGGGGTCATGATTTGAACAAACTTGAATATACACTACCTGAGGATGTTCCACATGATTTTCATCTTTCCTGGCCCAGAAGTTCTTGACAAGAAGATTTTTTTTTTTAATTCCATTAATTTATAACAAATTCATGATTATCTCCCCTTGGAAAAGGGCACGGCCCTTTATTTGACCAAACTTGAATCACCTTCACCCAAGGATACTTTGTGCCAAGTTTGGTTGAAATTGGCCCAGTGGTTCTTGAGAAAAAGATGAAAATGTGAAAAGTTAACGACGACGACAACAACAACAACGACGACGATAACGACGACAGACAACGGACAAATTTTGATCAAATTATAGCTCACTTGATCCTTCGGCTCAGGTGAGCTAAAGAATGAAGTTGACATCAGATTCATATCAAACTTAATCCCACCATATGGCATACATCAAGAAAGAGTGTAGTAAATTTTCAAGCATCTGCGATGAATAGCTAATGAGAAAACTGGGACGAAAATTTGTTATGTATGAAACGGACAGATGCACAGACAAACATGAAGTTGACATTGGATTTTATCAAAAATGTATCCCACCATACGGCAAGCCTCAGGGAAGATTGTGCTAAAATTTCAAGCATCTACGATGAGTAGTTGCTGAGAAAACTGTGACGAAAACTTGTTATATATGAAACGGACAGACGCACAGACAAACAGGAAGTTGACATTGGATTTTATCAAAAATATATCCCACCATATGGCATGCCTCAATGAAGATTGTGTTAAAATTTCAAGCATCTACGATGAGTAGTTACTGAGAAAAATGTGACGAAAATTTGTGATTTATGAAACGGACAGACGCACAGACAAACAGGAAGTTGACATCGGATTTTAACAAAAATGTATCCCACCATATGGCATGCCTCATAGAAGATTGTGTTAAAATTTCAAGCATCTTCGATTAGTAGTTGCTTAGAAAAATGCGAAGAAAATTTGTTACGGATAGACACACGGCCAGACAGACAGACACACAAGGGTAAAACAGTATACCCCCTCTCCTTCGGAGCGGGGGTATAATTAACAGATTTTAATGATTCTAGGCCAATTAGATCCTGAAGTAATTAAATAAAGACAAAAAAATTCAGAAGTATGTCATGGTGATCTACTTTTTAGTTCACATACTCCTAATAGTCCATGAGCCAGGCCATGAATTTTTCGGTATCGGTACCATCTTGGGTGAATAATTTTCATAGTTAATTTTTGAAGGACATACATCTTTACCTTCAGAAAATGTATGATAGCATTCAATTGATTGTGGCTTTAATGGTGTATCAACCGTTTATATACACCTAGCCAACTTGTTCGTTCTCTCAGCCGTGTCTTTGAAAGAAGAAAGTTGGATTTTCAATGCGCAATTTTATCTTATTTCGGATGATATTTTCTTGAAAATTCTTTTGAATGCATACTATGCTATTACCCTCTTCACTTATTATTCAATATTGGCTCTGTAATGAGCCGTCTAAATTAAATAGGAACATAATTCTACCCTTGATTATAAACGTGGAATACACAATTTTGAAATTTTGATCATAGGAAACAGATAACTACTGTGACTATTTTCACACCAAAACATATTGCATTGTCATTTTATTTAAAGAATTTTTATCACGTATTAGAATTTCAAAACATTCCCATGATTTACCCTGTGCGTATATTTTTATTTAACAAAGATATTTTGAATATGTCAGATCTCAAGAAGAACCTTTACGTAAAATGTTTTACCGTGTAAATGGGCATTTTAGCGAGACGCAAATTTAGCGATTTGTCCTTAAAATATGATAATTTATTTTAAGCAAGTATTAATCTGAGTGATTTGAAAATGCTCACTAAAAATCTATTACAAATTAAACACAGTTTTATTAGCGATATTAAATTTCAGCGATCTCAGAACCCTCGCTTAAAAATTAAATCCTCGCTAAAAATTCTGCTTATACGGTATTTATTTAATCTCATGCTAAACCATGGTGAGAATGAACACTCATATGTTCATTTTAGTTAAATTTGTCATATATTATATATTATATATATTATATATTTTTGGACATCAAAAGTAAACATATGTGCACAAATCATATATATGTGCTTTGTTGGCAGTGGGCTGTGTCTCACGACCTGCAATGGCGTGAAACCCCTTCACTCCACTAGTCCGGGTAGAAGGAACCGGTACATTCTTAAGGGAGATCCCTCTACGAGAGCACTCTACACAAAGCGCTGACGGGTCTCAAACTCTGTTGATTGAAGGCTTGCCTACCTATAACACATGTAAAGACCGTGCACCGGCGGACTCTGCGGAGGAAACCGTCATGGTTCAACTGAGAAGAAGGCGGACACAGCAAGCACCGTGGAAAACTTTGAGCAAGGTAAGGCACATATAGTACGTCTTGGTCATCCGCTGCATCTGTCTTCATCTCTAGACGTCCTGACTTCTGTCTTGCCACTTGATCTAGATGGTTGCGGGCGAGAGAGAGAGTGAGTTCGGCGAAGCGCAACCCTTCTTCATTTTAATCAAACTCATCGCGCAAGTCATTGATCATCTTACATCCCTTCTATCATCCACCCCAATGAGGTGTCAGGGCAAGCAACGAAGGTGACAGGTGCAGGTTCTCTGGAAGTCAGTAGTCTCGGACCTACACACAGGCGGCCCAGGCCATAGGGTCGCTCTTTACCGATTAGAGCAGGTTGGAGTTCGACAGCCACCTGTTCTAGTAAGCAGCCCCCTTTTGGAACGCACTGCTCACCTCCATTACAAGAGGAGCGGATTATAAAAGGTATCCCAAACGTTGACTGCTCCACCTTTCCCTATCCAGTTATCCAGACAGACAGACAGTTCGTTTGTTCACCAAGGCTATGTGCGGCACGGAGTGCTGGACAGATCACCGTTTCGCAGTCTCTAAACTTCAACTCTCAAATTCTGAATCAAACGCAGGATACGTCCTCCGGAGACAAAGGCTTCAAAACGTCTCGGTGTTGGTAAGCTCAAGTTGCCTTCCACTTCTCAGTACTTTGCTGACAACCTGGAAGAACGCCTGAACTCCACCGTGCTGTATGACCACGACGTGGAAGAAGCATGGAACACACTTTGTAATACAGTGTACAATACAGCCTTTGAGTGTCTTGGGCCCTCCACCAAAAAAAAAAAACACAAAGACTGGTTTGATGAGAACCGTGCCGAGATCACGTAGCTTTTAGAGAACAAACATCGCGCTAACAAAGCTCATATAGATGATCCCACCTACACAGCCAAGAAAGACGCTCTGAGGAACGTTCGCAGCACAGTGCAGCAAAAGCGTTGGGATATGCAGGACTCCTGGCTGACGAGATCCAACGCTACGCCAAAACTCATGACAGGCCTATGATAGATGGGTCAAATCCATCAGGCTCATCCCCTCTCCTCAGTGATGACGGGTTAACACTCATCAAAGAGAAGGAAAACATACTCGACAGGTGGGCGGAACATTTCATTCGCGTTTTGAACTGCCTTTTTACCATCAATGACGAAGCCGTCAACTATCCCAGGTTCCCATCAACTAGTCACTTGATGCCGTCCCCTCTTTGGAAAAGATCCAGAAAGCAATTAGTCTGTTGTAAACTTTCAAAGCACCTGGCTGATAGCCCGATACTCCATCCGAGCTGAGATTTACAAAGAAGGGGGAATGGCTCTAGTTGATAAACACCATCCTCTGCTTTTGCGAGGATCGGCCTGACCAGTCACCTCCGCACCCACCGTCCAGATCATCCCCCTCCCCCACGAAGATGAGACAGTGGTCATCGTCATCACCAACGGACGGATAACTAAACTAGTGCATTGGTACGTATCTTTTTCTTTATACAAATTTTTGATGTACATGTAATTGTTGAATAAAAGTGGTAAAAATATGCAATTTTTGTTAGAATCACGGCTAGTAACTCAATTAATGCTTTTTTAATATATTCATCATATCTCGAAGTAATTCTCGTAGAACGTTCTATCACGGTTGGCGACTGGGTGACAAATTCTTTGCAGGTTACAAATATACTTCGCTCAAAATACCTAATTTGAGCAAATAAAGGACAATAACTGAGTCTCCAGCATTAAAGCCACAATAAATTTGATGCTATCATACATTGTCTTACTTATCAGGGGTATACCTTACCAAATATTACTATAAAGTTTATTCACCCAAAATGGTACCGACCACCCCCAGTGGCTCATGGACTATAATACCCAATATACATCAACTGATAAAGTTAGATGATTCTAAACTCATTAGTAACAGGGTATTATTTAATCTCGGAATAATTATATGCTTCGGAATTTAACAAAATGTCGGTTTTTAATGTAGACCATATCTGTAGATTGTAGAAGCAGATCTACCTGTTGACATTTGCTGTAGAAGTCTTTCTATATAATGTAGAAGAATAAACCATGTTGAAATTTGCAGTAAAACCCTTTCTAAATAAGGTAGAAGAATAAATCATGTTGAAATTAGCCGTAGAACCCTTTCTATGTAATGGAGAAGAATAATTCATGTCTTTTTGTTTTTAAAATATGTTTCATTCATGTATTTTCTTAACTTTATTCTTCTTTGTTCTTTATTTTGTACTGGGGTATATGTGTCTACTTTTATGTGCTTGTTGAAATTGTTCTACGTTCCGTAGTCGT